AAAAAAACACCATATCTCCTGCAAGAGACCATGATGTCCTGTCATAAGCTGCCGCTGACCGTTTGAGGCTCAACTTCCCAAGAGGCACCCAAACCACTTTTTTAACCCTTGAGGTGCGACGAGCCCCCCCCATCCTTATAATATGGGTGTCCCCCCCGGCGAAGGGCTATCGCGCGAAACGTCAACTTCGCTCACTCACTGCCCACAGAGTGTAACTAGTTCTCGCTTTCTTGCGCTCGGTTTTTAAAGCAGCTCGACTTGTGAGCAAGGGAAAACAACCGTAAGACAAGTTTTGTTCCAGGTCGGTCGAGAAAACGGCGTGTAAATAAACTGCAAAGCCGTACACGAAGATCCTGCTTGATTGAATGTTGGATCTCACAGGAGATCTAATAACTTGAAGAGTAAAACGCTSAGAAATCAAAGACTACATACAGTAAGGCTGATACAACGCTATATATTTAAAACAAAATATTTCGGCTGGCCAGGCCAGCCTTCTTCAGATTTAGATGATACAAACTGCGACAAAAACCCTGCGATTTTGCTAAATGGCAAATATTGCAAAAAAAAGAAAAAAAAAAGAAAAAAACAAACAAACAAACAAACAAACAATCAAACAAACAAACACAGTGAAACTTCTCAGCGGTCCGGAATCCTGATTGGCTAATCGCGCGCGCTCCGGCGATCCTGATTTTCCCATCGGACCCAAATACGGACCGCCCCGAAATGTCCAACTTTGGCAGCTTTTCGAGCTCAAAACAACGTAAAATGTAAACATTAAACGCCAGTCAAACATCTATGGATTACGAGCAAACATGAATAGCCTTCGCCGCAAACAGCCTAAACCGCCGGTATACCGCGTTGCAGCCGGACGTGTCACAAAATGCCCACGCTAAGCAAACAGTATCGATCAGTATGGCTTGTGCCCGAAATAACGCCGCCAGATTTGAACTGAACAACTTGAATTAAATTTCAACACAAAAGTTGCTTTTAAATCAATACTGTAGAGAAAAAAAATAAATAAACACGTTATTTGCCGGCTATGGCAAGCCGTTTGTAGCAAAATTTAATCCTTGCAATATATGTTTAATCCTTTAAATAACGGTTT